GAATGCCAGGAAGCGTGAGATCGAGTTGGAGACCCAGGCCAGGGAGGAGGCCGAGTCTCAATGGGCGGATCGGCGGCCGGCTCAGTCTCAGCCGACAACTAAGCGGACCAAGTCCGCCGATTCGAGGTCCGGAGGTCAGAAGGGCCGCACTTGCGAAAAGTGCGGCAAGGGTCATGAGGGGGCATGTCGATCGGATGCTTGCTACAAGTGTGGCAAGGAGGGGCACATTGCTAGGGATTGCCCCACGGGATTCATGGTTTGCTTTCATTGCAACCAGACCGGCCATCGGAAGGCCAAGTGCCCCCAACATCGCCAGGGATCTACGCCTGCTGCCAGGGTTCCCGAGGTTCCGCCAGTGAAGGCCGAGGCTCTGAAGGCTCAAGGGAGAGCTTTCCAGTTGACTGCGGAGGAGGTCCGCGCGGCGCATGATGTCGTAGCCGGTATGTATTCTTTCATGTATTTACCTTTATACTGAGATATTGTGCTTATATTATGATATGCGTAGGTACTTTTCTTGTGAATTATGTGCCTGCTTTGGTATTATTTGACTCGGGTGCGAGTCGGTCTTTTGTTTCGTTGGCTTTTAGCCAGCACATCGGTATTGATCGGGAGGTGATGAGTCAACCCCTGTGAGTTGCTATAGCAAATGAGAAAGCGGTATACGCCACTGAGGTGATTCGAGGATGCGTGCTCGAGATTTTTGGGGTCGAGTTCCCTATAAACTTGGTTCCTATAGCTATGGGAGATGTCTGCGTTATCGTGGGCATAGACTGGTTGAGTAAGTTTGGAGCAGTCATTGACTGCGAGAGACAGCTGGTAATGATTCGAAACCCTAGTGGGGGAGTGTTCACGGTTTATGGCGAGGGGACCCGGTGTGGGTCGGCGTTTTGTTCGGCTGCCAGGGCAAGGGAGAGTTTGCAGTAGGGCTGTAATGGATTCATAGCCTACGTAATGGATACTCGAGTGGCCGCGGGGAGGCCCAATTTGATTTATGACGTTCCGGTTGTATGCGAGTTTTCGGATGTGTTCCCCGAAGAGTTACCGGGTGTGCCTCTGGAGAGGCAAGTGGAGTTTCGTATAGATTTGGTTCCGGGAGCGACGCCCATCGCCAAGGCGCCTTATCGTCTCGCTCCACCGGAAATGCAAGAGTTATCTTTGCAGCTTCAGGAGCTGTTGGGAAAGGGATTCATTTGACCGAGTAGCTCACCTTGGGGAGTGCCGATTTTGTTCGTCAAGAAAAAGGATGGTTCACACCGGATGTGTATCGATTACTGAGAGTTAAACAAGTTGACGGTTAAGAACCACTATACGTTACCTAGGATCGACGATCTGTTCGATAAGTTGCAGGGGGCATCTTGGTTCTCCAAGATTGACTTGACGTCGGGGTACCATCAGATGAGGGTTCGAGAGGAAGATATTCAGAAGATTGCTTTCAGAACTCGTTATGGACATTATGAGTTTGTGGTGATGCGTTTTGGGCTCACCAATGCCCCGGCCGTGTTCATGGATCTTATGAACTGGGTGTGTCGACCGATGCTGGATCGGTCGGTGATCGTATTCATCGATGATATTCTGGTGTATTCGAGGACTAGGGATCAGCATGAGGAACATTTGAGGGAGATTCTTGGGGTTTTGAGATCAGAGAGACTGTATGCCAAGTTCTCCAAGTGTGATTTCTGGTTACGAGAGGTCCAGTTCCTCGGGCATCTTGTTAACCAGAAAGGGATATTGGTCGACCCGGCCAAGATTGAGGCGGTGTTGAGGTGGGAGGTGCCGAGATCACCCACCGAGATTAGGAGTTTTCTGGGTTTGGCTGGATATTATCGCAGGTTTATCAAGGACTTCTCCAAGATCGCTGTGCCACTTACTAGGACGACCCGGAAGGGTGTCACATTTTCATGGGGACCGGAGCAGCAGTCCTCATTCGAGACGCTTCGTCAGAAATTGTGTGAGGCTCCGGTGCTTGCACTCCCGGAAGGGATGGAGGATTTTGTGGTGTACTGTGATGACTCTATATCGGGTTTGGGGGCGGTGCTTATGCAGAGGTTTCATGTGATAGCGTATGCTTCGATGCATTTGAAGCCTCATGAGTCGAGATATCCCACCCACGACCTGGAATTGGGGGCTGTGGTGTTTGCCCTCAAGATCTGGCGACACTATTTGTATGGGGTTCGGTGTACGATATACACGGACCATAAGAGCTTGAAGTACTTGATGGATCAGCCAAATCTGAATATGCGACAGAGGAGGTGGTTAGATGTGGTGAAGGATTACGATTGTGAGATCCTGTACCACCCGGGCAAGGCTAATGTGGTAGCCGACGCGTTGAGCCGTAGGGCGGAAAGTGCCCCGTCCGAGATATTTGTATGAGATTGACGGTATTGACCCTGATTTTGGATATTGTTCGAGGAGCTCAGGCAGAGGCTGCGAAGCCAGAACATCAAAAGAAGGAGCGACTTGTAGGTCAGGTATCAAGATTCGTCACGGATGGTCGAGGGCTTAAGACTATTCAGGGTCGGATTTGGATACCGTTTGTGGGCGGTGCGCGTACTATTTTGATGGAGGAAGCACATCGATCGAAATTCTCGATTCATCCCGGTGCTACGAAAATGTATTTGGATCTAAGGAAGGAGTACTGGTGGCCCTGTATGAAAAGGGATGTCGCTTGGTTTGTCGAGAGGTGCTTGACTTGTCGGCAGGTCAAGGCCGAGCACCAACGACCGCACGGTAAGCTGCAACCGCTAGATATTCCCGAATGGAAGTGGGAACAAATCACTATGGATTTCATCACCAAGTTACCGCGGACTACGAGTGGAGTCGGTGCGATTTGGGTGATCGTGGATAGGCTGACGAAGAGCGCTCATTTTCTAGCCATCAGCGAGAGCTCTTCTGCGGAGAAGTTGGCAGAGTTATATGTGAGGGAGGTAGTATCGCGGCATGGAGTGCCGATCTCGATTACTTCGGACTGCAATGTGCGTTTCACTTCCAGGTTCTGGAAGAAGTTTCATGAGGAGTTGGGTACTAGGTTACATTTTAGTACCGCATATCATCCCCAGACAGACGGTCAGAGTGAACGGACAATTCAGACGCTCGAGGACATGCTTCGGGCATATGTGTTGGATTTCGGAGGGAGCTGGGACACCTATCTACCTTTAGCAGAGTTCTCGTATAACAACAGCCATCATTCGAGCATTGGTATGCCACCCTTTGAGTTGTTGTATGGGCAGAGGTGTCGCACCCCCATCTGTTGGGGTGAGGTAGGGCAGCGGGTTATGGGTAGCACGGAGATCGTACTCCAGATGACCGAGCAGATTCAGCTGGTTAGGCAGAGGTTGTTGACCGCTCAGAGCCGACAGAAGAGTTATGCAGACAGACGCCGGTCCGAGCTTGAGTCTCAGGTCGGTGATCTTATACTCCTGAAGGTCTCTCCTTGGAAAGGAGTGATTCGATTCAGGAAGAGGGCCAAGTTGGGGCCCCGGTATATTGGTCCTTTCCGTGTGATCGCGAGGGTGGGCCGGGTAGCCTACCGTTTAGACTTGCCAGTAGAGTTGGGACAGATTCACGACACTTTCCATGTGTCGCAGTTGAGGAAGTGTATAGCCGACGAATCGATAGTGGTTCTATTAGGGGATATTCAGGTGGATGTGAGCCTGAATTATGCTGAGAGACCAGTAGCCATCAGAGATCGGAAGATCAATGTTTTGAGGAACAAGGAGGTACCCCTGGTATTGGTTCAGTGGCAGCATCGGAAGGGATCAGAGATGACCTGGGAGCCGGAGCATGAGATGCGTGAGCAGCATCCGGAGCTATTTGCATAGCGAGACTTCGAGGGCGAAGTCTTGTTCTAGTGGGGGAGAATTGTAACAGCCTGGATCTCCAGGTATCTTTACTTTTATATTTTTGGTATTCTGTGAGGGGACTCGGCGAGTTGGAGATCGAACTCACCGAGTCGGGTCGCGGTTTTGGATGGAGGTTCGCGTCCGGACTCGGCGAGTCCAAGGGATGGACTCGGCGAGTCCGCGCTGTTTAATGAAACCCTAATTTCCCGGTCCTAAGCCCTATTTAAAGGACCTTATGGCCCTTCATTGCGGCCACCTTGAGCCTTGATTGCACCCAAGCGGTTGAGAGACCTTGTGAGTGAGATAAGAGGCTATTTGTTCATCAATTTGTGTGTTATTGCAAGAAAGGAAGGAGAAGATCAAGCTTGAAGAGTTGGGGAGCTTGGATCTGCTTCTATTTCATCAAGGGAACCTTCTTGAGGTAACTTTCTGAGCTAAACTTCGTGTTTTGGTTGATGTGTCAAATCTAGGGTTTCTTCTTGCCTTATTTGGCTTGGATTTGAAGTATGAAAGGTCCCATGGAGATATGGAACCTAGATCTGGACCTTAGCACGTCCAGAAGGCCCCAAATGATATGCTTTATGTCCATTCTTTTGAGTTGGAAGCTAGGGTTGCCATATTAGAGGTTATTTCCCCAAAAAGGGCCTTGTATGTGTTGCATGGCGGCCAAGACTGAGACTTTACGTGATCGTACACACACTCGGGGAAAACTATTTTGTGATCTTTGTTTATGTAATCGGTCATGACAATATTATTTACATTGGAACTTAAATTATTACTCGATGTTTTGATGTTTGTAAAAATGAGAAAAAAAATTGGTTTATAATTTTCGTCGTTACACTCGACCACATCGGAACCATACATACCAACGGTATTTTTACCGAGGAAACAAAATATCTTGGTGGATTGAGGTTAGCAATCCATTTCAGGTGTTCTATTCAGACGAAGGAATACTTGAATGACAAGAATCGTTGGGAGATTGGTTTAAGTGGATCAAAAAATGCAGATGATAGCGACTTGCAATATGAAAGAGCGGCCTGGCTTAAAATCCTAGGGGTTCCGCTACCCTTATAGGATGAAAGTAACTTCTCCGGGATTGCAAGCAGATTTGGGAGGGTCATTAGCCTATTCGACAATATAACAAATAGAATAGATTATTCGATGGGGAAAGTGGTCGTGCTTACATCAAACATAAAATGGATCAATGAAGAAATATCAATTATAGCTGATGAGGTGGAGTATAGGATTGGAATCGTTGAATACACCGACGATTGGTCCGTGTTCAAACCACTACTGTTTGACAAAGTCAAGGAATCTGATGACGAGGAGGAAGAAGTTGATAAAATACCAGAAACATGGATGAACGAGGGGGAACAGGAACCAAAAGACGGAGAAATTTGGGACGATGAAAATCACAACTCACCTATGAAAACTCCGACCCTGTTGAAAGAACTGGAGAATGGAGAAATCCGGAATAATGATAATCACAAGTCCCCGGAGTTGTCCCAGTCAAATCTGACGGCTCTGGTAGTGTCGGAATCAACGACAACAATGGGAGACACTGATGTTCGGATAGGCGAAAGGTCTGCTGGAACAATACAGTTGGAGCATAATACCGAGAAGAGCAATTATGACGGTGATGTAATATTCCCAATGCAAAAATGACGGTCGAAATACCCAACAATGAAGAACACGTTGACCTGGATAAAGTGGGTGACGTAAATGATGCAGATATCCCTAATGGGCCAAAGTCAATACCCTTTATGGGCCCTGTGGAAATTTCAGTACACTTGGTTGTTTTGGGCCTTTCCTAATCAACTCTTCTCTTTTCAGCTTTAAATCGCCCCAGACCCATCGAATATCGGATCCCATTGTGAAAACTCAGATCAGTACTAGGCATAATCAAAATAAAAGAAAGTGGGATAAATCTGGAAACCGGAGCTCCAAAAACACAAGAATCTCTTCCACACCAGAACCAAACTCTACACATCCAGGTAATCTAGCTCATCCTCAAATCGATAGGTTTTCGTTTAATATGGACGTGGTACATGAGAAGTCTCAGACAGTTATCAACTCTGATATCGTGCCACCGCCAATTGTCAATGTCACATCGACCGAATTAGAAGAAACTGTAGCTATCGGGACTAAGATTGGGTTCCAAATTGATGTTCGGGAGCCACTCCTTATTGCGACAGTTGGAGAAATCAGAGAGAAAATCTGTTATCAATGAATTGTATGTCTCTCAATGTCATAGGAATCAGGTAGGAATTGAAAGAGGAATCAAGGAGGAATTGAAAGTCAATTAGGTGAGGAAGTTGAAAGATTTACTCAAAATTAACTTCATGGGGATACAGGAAACACAACTAGTCGATTCGGGAAGAATAGATGCTCGAGGATGATGGGGATCCCAGGACTTTGAATACGAAGGGGTGAACTCAAGTGGTCGCTCGGGTGGTCTTATTTCCATGTGGAATGTCAGTTGTTTTCAAAAGCGTGAGGTCATATGTAACATCCCAAAATTATGGGCCAAAAATTTCATTTTTAATTAAGTGATTTACAAAAAGTTTGTAACAAAATATCATTCGACCATATCATTTAATAAAACATGCCTCGCGTTTGTAAACCAGAACGTAAATCATAATAATATCAGAGTACAAATCCCAGAATGTCTCATAGTGCGGAAAAACAAGAGCGTGTGTGTGATATGCCACTACCACACCAACTCCTTCCCCTTGGCTGAAGAGGTACCTGAAACAGCAACAAAAAACCGTAAGCACGAATCTTAGTGAGTTCCCCCATCGTACCGCATACCAAATAACCACATAACATACAAATATTGTCAGGCATATCTGGGTGCCCGACCTACCCCTTCGGTCCTCTCGACCGGATACTGACTAGCATATCTGGGTGCTGGTCTCCCCTTCGGTCCTTTCGACTGGATAATGACTTGCATATCTGGGTGCTGGTCTCCCCTTCGGTCATTTCGACCGGATACTAACTAGCATATCTGGGTGCTGGTCTCCCCTTCGGTCCTTTCGACCGGATACTGACTAACATATCTGGGTGCTGGTCTCCCCTTCGGTCCTTTCGACCGGATACTAACTAGCATATCTGGGTGCTGGTCTCCCTTTCGGTCCTTTCGACCGGATACTGACTAGCATATCTGGGTGCTGGTCTCCCCTTCGGTCATTTCGACCGGATACTGACTAGTATATCTGGGTGCTAGTCTCCCCTTCGGTCCTTTCGACCGGATACTGACTAGCATATCTGGGTGCTGGTCTCCCCTTCGGTCCTTTTGACCGAATGTTGGGGACTATTTCACCCCTACCACTACCACATAACACGTATCACATAATCTATTTAGCATGGCTGGGCATGACTTCCCCTTCATCCCTATCGACCGGTAACCTGGGGACTATCTCCCCTACTATCACTAGCACATAGCATCATATCATACAAACACATAAACATAACATAGGTAGTAGCAAACCTAGATGAATATCACAGAGACAATCATCTAATCATACAATTCCTACTAGTGGGTCGGCATTGTGGCCTTAGACCCACTGCCACTAGAAGGTAACTCACCTCGAAGTAGCTGCTGAAAGTCTGCTTGCTGAGCACCTGACTGCTGAACCGGAACTCCCCGGCTACAATTTCCATAAACACTAAGTCAAATACTGATAACTAATCTTAGGGTAAAATAACTATTTTAACCCCTGGTCAAAGTCAACTTCCTGGTCAAGTCAACTTCCTGGTTGATCGGACTCGCCGAGTTGGCTCGCCGAGTCCCTTCCATCTGTTAGAGTTTTATACCCGTTTCTACTCGTCAAGCTTAGCGAAGACTCGACGCGTTCTTCTTCAATGCACACATACTGAGTCCAAGTTCATCCGAATCGCCGAGTTGAAGAACAACTCGTCGAGTCTAAGGCAATCTTTATCGGACTCGCCGAGTTGCTCATCCAACTCGCCGAGTTCATGACTATCTTCATAGGACTCGCTGAGTCCAACGTTCTACTCGTCGAGTTCATTCAGTCCTTTTTCCGTACAGACCTGATTTTAGCCATGCAGCGGCTCCAAACCACAGATCTAGGCTTCTAGGGCATGCTTATCACGTAAAGTTGCAAACTTTACGTGCATGCATAGCTTTAGGGGCTTCAAATGTCCAAACTAAGCTCTTAATGGGGTTCTAAACTCAAGAGGCACATTAATCACAAATATGACTGAAACTTAACACTTCTAGAAGGTAATGAGAGTCCAGATCTGAAGTATAACCCAACCATAAGGTTTCTCTACAAAGGATTTGGGGTTTTAGGGCTTAAAAGCAACAATTTAGGGACAAAGAAGATCTAATAGATCAATAATCAAAATGGAAACTTTATTACGAGAATGGATGACCACAAACGAATGTGTTCTGGATCTAAGTACCCTTCCTTGACCTCTTCAACCTCTCCTTTCTTCCACTTGCTCCAATGTGCACCAAAAGTCCCTTCACAAGGCAACAATCACTCAAACTTACCAATGGAGGCTAGGGTTTCGATAAGGAATGATCTGAGGGTGATGGAGGCTGAGCTAGGGCTATAAGGATGTTTAAATAGGGTGCAAACCCTAAGGATTAGGGTTTCCTCCCGACTGGCCTACTCGTCGAGCCAGGCATGGACTCGCCTAGTAGATCACTTAAAGCCCACATCCAACTCGACATCTACTCGGCGAGTTAGGGCTATAACTCGCCGAGTAGCTCTTCCAAAAAGAAACATTTAATCAAAATAAATACGTACCAGGAATGGGGCGTTACATCATAAAATTAAAACACTACTTAATTATAACTGGTAAATGGATTAGGATAGATGGTGACACCGTCTTCGCCAATATTTATGGACCATATGGTGTAGGTGATCAGAGGAGACTATGGCGTGAACTACTCATTATAAAGAGTTCAAATCCTTGAAATTGGGTAGTATTTGAAGATTACAATATAGTTAGAAGATCGGATGAGAGAGTCAACTCTAATTTTTATCCGGTTAGCGCTGCATACTTCAACAGATACAACCGGGAGACAGAACTTCATGACATCAACATGGGGGGGAGTACACGTATATGTCAAGAGTAGGTGCAGAATTAAGTAAATTAGATAGGTTTATGGCCTGTGAAAACTTCCTGTCCTGCTTTCCCATCCCTAGTGGTTACAGCCCATCAGCGTGAAATATCAAACCTGTGTCGTGTCACATTGAAATCCCAACATGACGATTATGGGCCGCCCCCTTTCAAATTGTTCAATTTGTGGCTATTGAAAGACGACTTTGACACTATGGTAAAAGAAGCGTGGGAGAATTTCTCTGGATACGGTTTCCCAGATGCAATCCTGGCTACAAATTACAAGTATGTTAAAGACGAAATAAAATTGTGGAAGAAGAAAATGGATAGTGAGGAAAAGCTAGAATTGCTGCGAATCAGAGTGATGGTGTAGACAATTGAGAAATTAGTTGAATCAAGGTCCCTAACTAGTACTGAACTTGAAACAAGAAGCCATGGCCTCCAAAAAATACTGGAACTATAAAGGGTGGCGGTCTTGGATTTAAAGCAAAAATCGCGGGTGAAATGGAACATAGATGGAGACGAATACTCCATGTTCTTCCATGGTTTTATCAATAATAAAAACAGAAAAAACAGAATTAACGGTCTGTTGGTGAATGGCAGTTGGACATCCAAGGTTGATGAGGTCAAAAAAGAAACTTACAACTTTTTCAAAAACAAATTCACGAAAGAAAGACCCATAAGACCGAAACTCACCAGTCACTATTTCAAATCTTTATCAATGATGGTGGTGATTAAATTAGAGGCACCGTTCACTATTAAGGAAGTTAAAATAGCAGTTTGGGCTTGTAGAAGCGAAAAAGCGCCTGGTCCAGATAGGTTTACTTTCAAGTTTATGAAAAAGTATTGGGATGCTTTCAAATCAGACATAACGAGTTTTGCTCTACATTTTGATAAATTCGGCACATTGTCTCGAGGCTGTAACTCCTCATTCATTACTTTGGGCCCAAAAGTGAAAGACCCAACCTCCTTGACTGACAACCGCCCTATTAGTCTTATTGGCTGCATGTACAAAACCATTTCAAAGTTACTTGCAACAAGACTAAAAACTGTAATCGGAGGCTTAATCGGTGATGTGCAATCGACATATGTGGCTGGCAGAAGTATACTAGATGGACCTCTGGTGATAAATGAATTACACTCATGGGCGAAGAAAGTACAAAAGCAGGTGTTGATCTTCAAGGTTGACTTCGACAAGGCATTTGATTCCATCAACTGGAGTTAACTCGAATCAATACTTGTGCAAATGGGGTTCGGTAGTAAATGGAGACATTGGATCAACAGCCGCCTGAACTCTTCGTGGACCTCAGTGATCATCAATGATTCGCCTACGGACGAGTTTAAAATCTCCAAAGGTGTTCGTCAAGGCGATCCATTACAACCATTCTTATTTATTATTTCTATGGAAGGACTCAATGTGGTACTGGAAGCGACAAGAGAAAAGGGAATTTTGTCACACCCTCGAACCATCAGAACAGACGGCGGAAACGTCCGGGGGTGGGTGACGTCATACGTAGTATCACAACAATCGTATCATAGCAATCAAAGTAAAAACAATAATTACATTGCAATATGAATATTTAAATCTGTTTGAAAGCATAGTTTGTACATAACAATATATAACATAAGTAAAAGATGCCACTCTATCGTGCTCCGTCTTTTCCAAAAGTTGGCGAAGGTACCTGTCTATCGTTGCCCTTAGAATACAAGCGGTTTTGAAAACATATCGGCATAAAGCTGGTGAGTTCATAAGCATGTTTTTGTATTGGAACCTAGTCACTGAATTTGTATAAATTATTTCTTTTCATTATAAGTAAATATCGTTTGTATCAAAACCCTAGTTACCACCAATAAGTAAAGTAGTTTCTATTTGAAAACTCTGGCTATCATCAGTATGTAAGTTATGTTTTGATCGAAAACCCTGGCTACCGCCAGTAAGTAAGATACTTTCCATTTGAAAACCCTGGCTATCACCAGTAAGTAAAGTATGCTTTGATCGAAAACCCTGGCTACCGCCAGTAAATAAGGTACGTTTTAATCGAAAACCCTGGCTACCGCCAGTTAGTAAGGTATGTTCTGTTTGAAAACCCTGGCTATCACCAATAAGTAAAGTAGTTTTATTACTTAAAATAAAAC